ACGCGCCCATCCAGCGCCCGAGAGTCAGGAGACCGTAGCCGAAAAAGATTCCGCCTTTGATGTAGTGTGCAAGAACATTGAACACGGCGCCTCCGCGCTGCGTGTTGCGTTAGTCAAGATCATAGCAGACCGCCAGGCTTACTTACTGCAATGCCGCCATATACGACGGTACCTGTTGCAAAAGCTACAAACCCTTGCACTAGGATCGTGCGCTCTATGGCCACATAGAAGAATCGGACAATGCTGAGCACCCGTCCAGCGGCGAATCGAGGCACATAGCGTGACAGGAACTGGTCCACGGCCGTGTTATTCAAGAAGCCATTCTTTTCTGAAAGAGAGTGCATTTCCCCATTGCCCTCATGTGGGAGGAATTGGTCGTTTTCGGACTCGACGCTGGGTGACCTGGACTGTCCAAACAGCGAGGCAGTGTTAGGCTCAGTCCCTTGGCCTGAATCATACGAAAAGCGGGACGGATTCGGGAGCTCTTCAGCATGGACACGCTGGTAGCGATCCATGTTCGCTGCCGTCATAGGGTACCGACCCTCATCCTCCACGGAGTGGGCTTTTCTTCTCCCAGCATAAGCTTGAGTCATTGCCATCAAGGCCCAGCCAAAGGCAATCCAGCTGACCATCCATCCGATTTTGCTATGCGAGTTGTTTTCATAGAGTTCCGGGGTACTGATGGTATAGACGACACCGAGAATCACCGCTAATCCATTTACGACGAGGAATACGAATTGAATGAGAAGCGCGAGCTTGGAACGAGCAATGCTCAGCATCACTCCTATGCAATGTCAGTGTCCGGCCTGCCCCTCTCCAGTGCGCGAGCCACCTACCGACTGGCAATATAACGAACCACGCCATGACCTCCAGGGCAATATGCATATACATGAGGCCAGCATGCTCGGAGAGGCTCCAGTAACTTGACGGGTTATCGTCGTCCGCGGTGTGAGGCTTTGGCGCGCCGTGCATATGTGCGTCCGCTCCGCCATGACCTCCGCCATGACCTCCGCCATGACCTTCGCCATGACCGGCCACCAAAGGCAGCGCCTCAAGCAGAAGCGCTGCGGTTGTGAGAAATACCACACTCCTTCGCAGCATGTATGCTTAAGCTTCGGACAGAGAACTGAGGGTCCGCCCAGAGCGAGGTGATATCAAGCGGGGTGGATGGAGGTAAACGTGAGTGGTGTGATACAAGTGTAGCAGATGCTAGGGTACGGATTTGCAACAGCTCGAGGGGTTTCCAGGAGCTGAGTAGTATGATGACGGAGGAGGGACAAAGATGTCATAGAGGTGTGGAAGGAGATCCAGAAGGTTATGAAGAAAGCAGACGGTACCGATCCGGCGGTGTTCAACAGTAATAAGCACGAGCCGACTATTTTGTCATCGACGACATCGAAGCTTCCCGGCGATTACGCCTTCCTCATGACTGCTCACATGCAACTTGCAACTTCAGCCGATGTAGGGCAGCCGTGCAATAGGATACAGCTTGGCGGCGGTTGGCGTTTCTGGACACACGGCGGGGCTCAGAGCCAGAGCTTCGGGGCCGAGAGCGAGCTCCTCCCTGGGTCTTTCTCGATCTCGTCCGCCTCCCGAGCCTCCCGCTCCACCTGTTGTTTGAATCTGAAGTTATCTCGACAGCTTACATGCATCCAAGTGCTGTTGCCTTGTGCTGTCATCACCGCACCCTGACCGTCGCGCGGACGGGACCCTTTCCCTTGCGGCCCGCGGCACGTCCCCTTCCCAGCTGTCATACGCGCTGTCTATCAGCACCCGTGGGACCGTCTGGAGCTGTCGTGCGTCGGGGCCGTTGTAACCGCGAGCTTCCGAGCTTTCTCTGGGGCCTTTACCTCACCTGTTGTCATAGATCTCGATCGTGCTGACGTCGAATCAGAGCCAGACAAGCTTTTTGGTCGCTCGGCAATTTATTCCTAGCATGCATCCTGGTCTCCCGCTGTACGCTAACGGGATGCGAGAATTGATGCGGCGCGCGTCAAGGTGTGGTGTGAGGTCGGAAGACGGGACTCTGCGTTTCCGACACTCTTTTCGCTCTTTTCGTGTATCGTTCACTGGTGTTCTCAAGGTTCCAAGGCTGCACTACACTTCTCTGGACAGTCGACAGTTGTCCGCTTCAACTCCAGGAGGATGCTGATGCGCGGGATGGTAAGCGCAAGCGGTCGACTACATCACTAATCACCAGTCCCGCTACAGCCACCCTTGTCACAACCATTACAATGAAGCGCTTCGTACGAGGAATGTCCGCTTACAAAAGCTGTCGGGCACTTTGTTGACTCACAAACATGCAGCTGAGCGGGGTGTGCTGCAGCATGTGCTGCAAACGGCGATTTACATTGTTAAGTCCGAGGACTTCTTTATCACCGTCTGCTCAAGTGTGATGCAGCCCTGGAGGTTCAAGGTCAACACGTCACATGCTTTTTTGTGCTGCTGATGGGGCAGGGCGTTGTTGATGCGTTGGTAACGTCTTAATCCTCGTTCTTTCAACTCGACCGTCGTTGACTGTATTGGCTGTTGTTCGTTCATGTTGTCGTGCCTCACGCTCGCATCAATATCCAAGTCTGGGCAACGGGATCATCCGAGAAGTCGCGATCTCCTGCCTTCAGGTTTCCCGGTTCGGCTGCTGAATCCACCCGCCTTGATCCTGGTTTCGTTCGCTCGTCGGATGTCCGAACCGGACTGCTAGTCTACACATTACAAGTGAAACTGACCATGTGGACATGCCGGAAAGATCGAAATTTCGAATTCGCATGCTCGCCTTTTCTTACCTCAGTCGGAAGCGGTGTTCTCTTTTCCCCTCAATCCAACGTCATGCACCGTTTACATGTACGTAGGGACTGTGCTGGCAATCGGTGTGAAGGAATGAATAGCTGAAGCATCTGAGAGGTGCGTAAGCACCAAAGAATTGCAAAAGAGATGAAAATCGAGCCGTCCCTCGAGCCGCGCGATTGGCAACATATTACCTTTGACCTGCGAGAGCGTTCTTGTAAAGCGACTGAACATGTAGAACTTCAGGATGATACGATCAGAGCTTCGAACGACGGCCAACTAAGCCTAACAACTTTAGTGAAACCAACTGAGTCGATACGAATACACCAACTCATCAGGTATGCCAAATCATACCCCTGTTGAACACAAGAGAGCTCCTTCGTGCTAGCGTCCGTTGCGAAAGCAGTTCAGCTTGGTGTTGCGTGCCAAAGCATTTAGCAATGTACTGTCGCCATATGGGCGATGAAGACACCGTCTACTGCTCGCTCAAGATGCAAATATGCGTGAGGTTGATCTGTAACTATGATGCGATGCGATGCTGCGTGTGCAACAAGGAGGGTGAGGATCGGCAAGGGTGGACTTGCATATGGTCACAATTTTGGAGCTTCAACAGATGTCTTTTTCAAGATTGCCGCTTCATGTTCTAAATTCAGAGAATCAGAATATCAAGCTTTATGCCAACTCGGGAGCTATGCGGGAGCGGGAGGTGAAGAGGAGACTTTGCGTGGGGAGCGTGGGGTAGCACAACGCTAACCCCAGACAAGCGAGGCGGGTGAAGGTCGCAGCTTCCCCGCTTGCGTCATCACATCGTAGGGCAATTTCCTCTGTGAGAGGTGAGGCGCGCACGGTGTTTATAATGCGCTGGGTGTCCATTGCCAGTCAATAATCTTCCTCCTCCTTCTCCTCTTATCTGTACCTTTTGAACCTCATTACAGGCACAACTACTGTCTTCAACTGTTTAAATCGTCTACATCTGAGCGCAATCAACCTACTCAAGCAACGAAATGGGTTCTGACCACCCAGACGCCGACAACCACCCCACCGCCACGGGCCCCGCCGGCATAACCGTCAAAGTCCGCGCCTCCCTCTCCCCCACAAAACATCCCCACTAACTTTGCACCAGGCTCACTCCGCCCCCTGCGCCCTGAAGCTCTACGGATCCTGGTTCTGTCCCTTCGTGCAACGTCTCTGGATCGCTCTCGAAGAAAAGCACATCCAATACCAATACATCGAAGTCAACCCGTACGAGAAGCCCAAACAACTCCTCGATCTCAATCCGCGCGGACTAGTACCCACACTGCAATGGCACGACAAGCCGCTGTACGAAAGCAGCGTGTTGATCGAGTTCATCGAGGATGCATTCCCGGATCACAGTCCGAAGTTGATGCCGGAGGATCCGTATGAGAGGTGGCAGGCGCGTCTTTGGACGCACTTCATGGGCGTAAAGTTTATCCCTGGGTTCCATCAGTTCCTGCAGTGTACGGATGAGAAAGAGATGGACGGAAAACGGGAACAGTTCCTCGGATATATCAAGGAGTTCGTCAAAGCTATGGATGGCGAGGGCCCGTATTTCGCGGGGAAGGACTTTGGGGCCGTGGATGTTATGTTCGTGCCTTGGGCGGTTCGGTTCTGGGTGTTTGATCACTTCAAAGGTGGACTGGGGATCCCGGAGAAGGGGAAGGGAGGCGAGGATGAACAGGTCTGGGAGAGGTACAGGAAGTGGTATGAGGCGGTTAGCAAGAGGAAGAGCGTGTTGGAGACGACGAGTGAGAGGGAGTATTACCTGCCACTCTACCAGAGATATGCGGAGGATAGGGCGCAGAGTGAGCTGGCGAAGGCTACGAGGAAGGGGACAGGAGTGCCTTGAGGATGATCGCGGGTCATGAGGGGATGGGTGACAAGAATGTGGACGAGACAGGAGAAAGTCCAAAACTCGGGATATGCAACCCTGGAATGATGGAAGCACCATGTTACAGCGGAAGTCCTAAGGCCAAGGTAACAATACCACTTTCAAGCCTGTATACGTATAATGAGCGCCATAACAGTCTATTTGCCCTAGCATGTGAAGCTCGGGTGCACGTAGTTCACCTCCATTCTTCAGTGTCAGAGATGTGCAGGAAGACAACAACGCCCAAAAATAATGATCAAGGCGTCCCAACCTGGACTCTCCTCGGGTCGCCTTGCGAAGAGGAGAAAAGCAAAAAAGAAACTATTGACGACCGAGATGGGGATCGAACCCACAACCTTTGGTGTATTTCGCAACCGAAAACCAACGCCCTACCATTGGGCCACCCGGCCGGTGACTTCTTATTAGATGTTAGAACAATCTGTTGGCAAAAGTTATGTCTCCGTTTTGCGCAAACCAACGGCCCATGGCGGAAGTGCGGCTGTGCAGCAGGAACGTGACGTTGTACTGGGCGATCATGACCTCAGAATCTACAGACACTCATAATTTGAGTACCTGGCTAGGATGAGTCCGGCTGGCATGCTGGATGGAGCACGATACAGATGCTTTCATAGCTGTAGGGCTGTAGGTTTGTGGGCGCTAGCAAGAATTAGTACGTTTAGAGCCCCGACCGCTCGGTTGCGACGGATTCTCGTACTTAAGGAGGCAGGGCAAGATCTCTGAGCTCGCAGTATGAGCTATCAGTGGCGATGCCATCAAACCTCTGCAAACACTGAATAGGGATCTGTATGTCCGCAAACGAGCAGGTGGTGTCGCCAAAGCACGATGCACACAAAAGCGGAGCGTCTGGGGACGCGCGGCTAAGCGACGGATCCGCGCAGGGATGCCAGACGCGATGATGGCATGTGGGAACAACTCTAGGATCCGGAAGCTACCACCCTCCATCACTTTCTCCGCCGCCTGCCGTGCGGTCTTCTTTAACACACGGATTCTTTTGAATCTTCTCTTTATTCGCATCTCCCGAAGATTCGAACTGTGATTGTTAATCCCACGACACCCCGGACGTGCTGAGACCCCTTTTCTTGGCTGTGAGGTCATCGCCGAGACATTGGCATTTGGGGGTTCCAAGGTCGGGCAAAAGTGGTCCTCCAGTGCATATTCTGGGGAAACCACCCGCCCTTGTCTATGACTGCAGTCAATCGCTTCTACGAATTTCACGAAATACGCAAACACTATGGATGGCTTCAAGCGGAAGCTCGGGTCCGCCCGCAACAGGGCCGCTGAGCGCATGTCTCGTGGAACTGGCTCCGCGTCGCTCGCAGAACACCACTCGTCTTTACCACCGGACGACAACGCCAGTGTAATGGTTGTCAACGAGGGACAACTTCCTGCAGCCCGCGATTTTGCGGCACTGCCTGGTGAAGAGACGGTGCAGCCAAAGATCGAGCCGCCCACGTCGCTGCAGTCGTCGATAGATGCCGGCAAACCCGTTCCTAAGCCACGGAATCGCTCATCTTCAAATCCAAACAGGTGAACTCACTCATGTATATGTTTTCAGGTATGCTCTAACCTCATAATAGGCCACCACAAAGCGGCTCAGCCCCGACAGGGCGTGACAGAAGCAACTCCGCCGGTCAACAACGTCCCGGAGCCGGCTACAGACAACCTAGTATCGGCATGAGAAGGGGGAATGTTGTGCCACAAAGACAACCTGCTAGCTTTAATGGAGCTGGGGAACCTATCCAAAGATCCACCTCGCGCTTGCCAGTCTTGGACGAGACGTGTGTGCTTGCGCAGCAACCGACCGAGGGTGGAGCGTCCGTACCCTCGTCATTGCACACATCCCCCAGTCAGGAGGATAAGAAGAAGATGGGCCCTCTGCAAAGAGTTCGCTCTGCAGTTCAAGCCAAATTTGGCAAGGGAGGTGCCGAGAATACGAATCACGGGACAGCGCCAGTCTATGGTAAAGAATACTCGGCGAGCATGGTGGATGTCCTCGATACCCTTGGTAAGGACCGACGCACGGCTGTAAATGACTAATGCTGACACTTTTTCAGATGCTGAAGTACAAACCCTTACTTCCCTCACAAACGTTCAGAACTCGCTCTTCATTCCCAACCTCGGTAGATTCGTGAACCGGAATCCCACATATGTGATACGGCAAAGCCCGAGCGAGGCGCAAAGTTTGGAGGATATCAATGCTGTAGTTCAGCCCGCTCGAGAGCAGTTGGCACAAGAGCAGCAGCAGGGCCCCCGACTGGCCCGAAACCAGTCTGCATCCACTTTGGCTACGGTGGCTACCATCGACTCGACACTCAGTGACTCTCGCTACGCTGTCTTGCCTTCGGGCGCATCCCTGGAAGGTTGGAGCAAGGAGGACAAGGCGGAGCTGAACGATCATGTCCGGCACATGCTGCACTCGAGACGGTCCAAGCTCAAACGCGCAATGAGGGGTTTTGGACAGTATGTCCGAAGACGTAAGTACTTGCCGTTGCGTCGAATCAGTCATGTACTAACTTTCGGCCAGCCCTGGGCTTCTTGGTCACACTATACGCCACTCTTATCACCCTATTCGGTCTCGCTTGGGTACTCTTTTTGATAGGTTGGATCAACGTCGGCGGAAAACAAATCTACGTCGTCCATGTCATCGACAGCGTGCTCGTCGCGCTTTTCGCTATTGTTGGCGATGGCCTTGCACCATTCCGTGCCGTCGACACGTACCACATGATCTATATTGCCCATTATCACCACTACACCTGGAGCCGGCGGAAGAAGGATCGCCTTCCGAAACTGCACGACAACAACGACCTTCCGGCAACAAATGCACCAATGACGGGCTTTGCGACTACGGATGACCCCGAAAAGCAGTGGGAGTTTACTGTGCTCACACCGAAGCAGCAAGAGAAGCTGGAACATCACCAAGCCAAGTTCTGCAAGTCGCACTCGTTTTACAAGCCCCACGAGACAGAAACACATTACGCCTTCCCACTCAACTTCCTTATCGCCATTGTCATTCTCTTGGACTGTCATTCCATGCTCCAGATCGCCCTCGGTGCATGCACATGGGGTATCGACTACAAAGTCCGCCCCTTCGCCCTCACCACCGTTATTCTTTGCTTCTCCATCACCTGCAACGCAACCGCGGGTCTTCTCATCATGCTTGGCGACCGCAAAACGCGCAAGAAGGATGTCTTGGAGCGCATGAACCGGCAAGAGCTGACCGAGGAGGCGATGCACAAGGTGGAGAAGAAGCGGGAGAAGGGAGCGGAGAGTGAGGGCGATGAGCCGGCGAAGAAGAAGGCGAGTATGGACATTGGAAGGAAGAGCTTGGATGTATTCAGACGCCCGGTCAAAAGCGAAGATTCGTCATCTGGGCCTTCGACAAGGGGGCTGGTGCAAGGGGAGAAGAGTGCTTATCCGTAATTTGGCAGCGTTTTTGCGGGTCTTGGTTTCTAGGAGTATGTTCTTGGTGTTGGGTTGCATGATACATACCTGGGTTTGGTCTTTGTAGGATATACCGATAATGTTGTAATGAGCTACGTAATCTTTTCACCTGGGCGGTGGAATCAATGAGTTGTTCTATCCGTGCGGGCAAAAGCTGGGTGGGGGAGATGTGAAACCAACGCCTTCTTGGTGGAATGAGCCTGCAGCCCTACCGTGGGCAAGAACAGCCCTGCCGTATATGCATCGTCACCACCCACTCAGAAACTCTCAAGGTTCTACACCCTCCAGCCCAACTCGTCGGCCTATCCACTTCGGGGCTACAAGAACGATCTCACCAATAAAGCTTCGCTGCCACCTGTCTTGTCTGATGTCGTTCCACCTTCGGCCTTCGTAAACCGACGAGCTTACGCTTGGCAGGGCATAATGTTCAGTAAACACATCTAGCGCCAAAGACGCTGGGCAGGGCAGAAGGTTCAGTAAGCGCCAAGGCACTCACGGATAGGGGCTTATCACGTAATAGGCCGGGGATAACGATTGGATAATTTCAGACGCGAATAGGGAAGCCGACAGGTTTATCCGTTAGCGTACCCCGACGCGTACAGAGCGAGTACGTTAGGCGTGCCATCGATGTAGTCTTACAGCTCACTATTGCTCACACAACAAGTCTGCGTACTAGGTGTGGTACGGTACTGCTTGGTTTGGACATTAGTATTGCCCCAGCGTTTGCGTTGGATCTCCGCGAAGGTTTTGGTTGTTGGTTGTTGGGCGCTTACACAGCAACTAGGCATCCGGTTGAGGCATCGTGCACGCCCACCCTGATGCTCGCGGACCATGGCCGGTGAACTCCCATGATTTAGCGGACTACGCCGCAAAGCAGCATATCTAGCCTCGGGCGTTTGTTTGGGAGCACCACACGAAGCAATATGGGGCACCACGTACGTTCAGCCCTCTGAAGAATCGGAGTACTCACAGGAGCGGCCTCAAAGCACCCTACCTGACTCTCAGAGACACAGTGGACGAAAATGCCCTCTCTACGAGGAGAGAAAAGGTAAGAAGAGGTATAATGTCTCTGGACAAACTGATTCCACTGCGGTAGGTCTACAGTGAAGAGCTAATTGAACTGTGCAGGCCTCGTACGGTGCCCGCTATGGCTTCGGGTAGCGCCGCCCATTACTTTGTACGGTTGCCCCAGAACGGGTACACTGCCTGGTCAGTTCCAGAGCCCCCGAAAGGCTGGGAACTCATCCAATGTTTCATTAGTCGCGGAACACGGCTGTAGAGCTGAGCTCCCCTGTTCTCCCATGCTAGTCCAGTGGTCGATCATCACTGATGAATTCCTTCTCGTCTGCCCACTCACCCTTTTCCTCAAGCTTCTTTCCAGTTTGCGCTGTCCGTCTGCCATCTTCTTTGTCTCTGCTTACCGCCTGCACTCGTTAGGATCTTTTCTTTGCGCCCTTTTACTTCGGAGAGGACCTTATTATTTTATTCCATTAACCACATGTACACATCCATGCGGACCTTCGCCCCCCAATCGTTCAACAGCAAAGGGATCGTGGTCTCACTTTTAGCCTTCGCTATCCTCATACTATGGTTCTCCCATGCATCACTACACCGTCACTGGACCGCAGTACAGTTTCACTACTCAGGACCGGGACGTATCACAGAACACCCCATCGGAGCATTGGCGACATACTACCGCTCCGTCTTCGAAGCAGAACTCGCAAGCCAGTCCACTACCCTCGAACAGGCAGAAGAACGCTACATCGAGCGCTACAAACGCCCACCCCCACCCGGCTTCGATCACTGGTTCGCTCTCGCTCGAAGACTCGGGTCACCCATCATCGACAACTACGACAGCATCGAGCAGTCCTTGCGTCACCTCCGCCATGCTTCCGCCCAGGAACTGCGTACAGCATTGAGAAGCGCCGTGGCCGGCGGCTTTAGAGGG